GATTCTTAGAGGTAATTAAAAATTTTATATAATTCCCAGGAAGTGAGTCATATTAATACCTGTTTTATAAACTAAAATAATATATACCTAATCTGAACTGTATATAATGAATAGCTACCGGGTTGTTTAGTAAAACTCATATATCACTAATTAAAAAATTAATTTTTAATTCCTTTATTTTTTGCAGAAGTTGGACTATATCATAAATAAATAGGAAATTTTAATATTGAATGAATTATTCTCTATGCACAAAGAAAGATAGAAAGGGTGACGCTATAAGTTCTTCTATAAACCAAAACGTAGTGTTTGGATTTGGTCTCAAAATGAGGAAAAACGCGATATTGAACCAGAAAATTGGATAAAATACATTAAGCGAACGAGAAAGTAAGTGCCAAAAACTCGGAATAGATAAAAAGGACCAGTATCCATTATATAGCTAAATGAATGTATAGTAGACAGATGAACAGAATATTTCAAGATGCTGTAAAAGAGGGTCAATTGCAGTTTGGATGATATTAAGTCGACGATGTAGGTTTATTATGGTGAAAACCACTTTATTTTCAATTGCTGAAGGTGCACATCGGGACTATCTTGACTTTGAAGCAGGATATAGAGAAGTATATCGAGAAAGTTATCGCTCGTAGCTCTCCTTCTGTTTAGTGCATTTGCAAAAGATTTTTTAAGAAATCTAAAAGGAAAACGAGCTTTTCTGAAAGACAATTAGGTATTAGCATACCCCAAAGTGTGAGGCACTAAGCAGATAGAGAGCTATTTTTCTTTTTATATTGACTTCTCTATAACGTGCCATAAAGTGAAGACAGTCCCAATTTTCAACTTCTCTTCCAATGTGCAACTTGAATTTCTCAATGCATATAGCTCTGGCAATCGACAATATTTCTTATTCCAACTTCTACAATTCTTGACTGTAATTTGTTTGGTACACTAAACAGAAATGGATCTTAATGGGTATTACATTTCCTAGTACCTTCTTTCTTGTAAAGTTAAAACCACAGTCCTTTCATATCATTTTATAATATACTTGTTGCCTATGTACGCGCAAAACTGTGCGAAGCAGTTCGGTTTCGTCCTTTCCATCTTTCTTTGTGCAGAGAGAATAATGCATCCAATATTAAAATTTCCTATTTTTTTATGATATGGTACAAATTCCGAACAATTTATTCCTCAATTTCTGACCAATAACGAGCTATAACTAATATAAGATTCCTTAAAAAATCTTTTGCAAATGCACTAAACAGAAGGAGAGCTATGAGCTATGACTTTCTCGATATACCTCTCTATATCCTGCTTCAAAGTCAAGATAGTCCCTTAGGAAAATAAAGAGGTTTTCACCATAATAAACCTACATCGTCCACTTAATATCATCCAAACTGCAATTGACCCCCTTTTACAGCATCTTGGAATATTCTGTTCATCTGTCTACTATACATTCATTTAGCTATATAATGGATACTGGTCCTTTTTATCTATTCCGAGGTTTTGGCACTTACTTTCTCGTTCGCTTAATGTATTTTATCCAATTTTCTGGTTCAATATCGCGTTTTTCCTCATTTTGAGACCAAATCCAAACAATCAGTTCTGGTTTATAGAAGAACTTATAGCGTCACCCTTTCTATCTTTCTTTGTGCATAGAGAATAATTCATTCAATATTAAAATTTCCTATTTATTTATGATATAGTCCAACTTCTGCACAAAATAAAGGAAATAAAAATTAATTTTTTAATTAGTGATATATGAGTTTTACTAAACAACCCGGTAGCTATTCATTATATATAGTTTAGATTAGGTATATATTATTTTAGTTTATAAAACAGGTATCAATATGACTCACTTCCTGGGAAGTATATAAAATTTTTAATTACCTCTAAGAATCAGTAAATATACAAAACACAGTGTTAAATTGCAAACGTTAAATAAAAAAAAATCAAGATATTTAGCAAAGTATTTTTAATTAAGTTTTATTATTATAATTATATAATTTTTACAATTGAGGTCTTCTTAAACGACCTACATATAGAAAAAAGGAGGTTAAATTAAAAAAAAAAAATAATAATAAATTTAAAAATTTTATTTTTTACAATTAAATTATTGCATTAATATTTGTTCGTTAATAAAACCAATATAATGTACCAAAAATGTTATTATATCACTATAACTAAGCCATTTATGTGTACTGAATGGTGTGGTAGGCACCCATGCCAGTACCGCTTTTCTGCTGCAAAAGTGCATTTTCTACGGAACTGCTTGAAATTTTTAAAAAAATAATCAGCGTTTTAGAAAGAGAAATATGTTCTCCAGATGTTTTATTTGAGCACGTTTTCTGTTATTTTAGGCCGTTTAATTACAAACGATGCTTGATTTGTAACTTGAATATTTTTTTGTTAAAAAAATTTACTTTACTGGTGTTTTTTTTTTTTTTTTATAGCTTAAACCAATTATTTTTTAATATTTCTTCATGTTTTATTATTCTATGACTATTCAGCTTTAATAAAAGACCAACTATGAGAAAATTAAGCCAAATGCTGATTCTCAGGGACCAAAAAACTAACTAAAGTCAAAGTCGTCAATCCGCCATCTTTGGACGCCATTTTGGGGCAGTGCGTTCACTTTTTTTTGTGGGAACATTGGCTTTTTTTTAATAAATAGTTACAAGGAACACAACGATATGCAATTTATAGGGATGTGGGGGAGGGAGGGTGCAAGGTAAGAGGGTCTGGCCCACAGACTATTACTGTTCATAAGAGCTTTCCCGCTTTTTTTAGGAGGTTTTAACGTATTATACAAGATACCAGGATCGATCAACCTCATAGAAACTTTTTGCTAACGTATTCAAAGTAATATTTTTATAACTAAAGTTTAGATTTGTTTTATGATCATATAAATTGTGTATTATTTATATTATAAATTAAACTCATTTTACTTCTTGAACTGTCAAGCTAATAAGTAAAGCTATGATATAATTTTACCTTTAATAAACAAAAAAAAATAATACTGATCATAAGTTAGTAGTACAAACTTTCAATGAGCAACTTACCAAGATTTCCCACTGATGAGCAGAAACAATGGACACATGTTTTTCAGCAGCCATCTTGAAGGGAAAGGGCAGTGGTAATGTCCAGCTAAGAGGATCATCCCCATGGTGACCTCTGATATTGATACCAAAGTTCAAAACAATCAGCCCAGAAATTTCAGGGACAAGCCATAGAAGGACTGATATTTTTATTCATTTTTCAGATCTAACTATTTTAAAACGTAAAACCTCAAATTTTGAGAGGTTAAATTAATTTTTTCTTAGATTATAAAGGTTTAGACAGATCTCTTCAAACAGTGAAGAGTGCATTCAGTAGGATGGAGAATGAGACAGGGAAAAGGGGGTGGTTAGGCGAAAATAAAACCAAGATCCTTTTTTTAAGGAAAAAAAGCTTGCCTATTCATCACAGCACCATTTTATGGGAAACCATATTTTTCAAGCTGTATCAAGCTTCACATACCTCAAGTCAAAAATTAACAATAGCAATAATGAAGAGGAGGAGATAGGAGCTAGAATAATGGCTGCCAACAGAGCGTACTTTTCTCTCTCGAGCCTTCTGAAAAGTAGATTAAGTCGCAGAACAAAATTTAGGATATACAAAAGGATTATTCAGCCAATTGCAACATATGAGTGCGAGACATGGACTCTAACGAAGGCATCTGCTGAACGAAATAAATAAGTTTGAAAGAAAAATACTAAGACAGATAATAGGACCTAAACTGGAGGAAGGAGTTCCCCGCTTACGAACAAACAAGGAGGTATACTTAATGTATGGTGATCTGTCTATCTATCTCTCAATTCGCTCGAGTGCAGCGAATGAAATGGTTAGGACATGTCCTGAGAATGAATGAAGTGAGGACAGTGAGAAAGCTTTATCATGGGAAGCCAAAGGGAATTAGGTCTAGGGGGGGAACCGAAGGTAAAGTGGATAGATAACATAAAAGAAGATTTGAGAAAAAATGGCATATCCATCAGGTGCGCAGTCAATAAGGATGACTCCGCGGACCGCTCCATGCCTCTGTTGCGCCAATAATGAATGAATGAATAAAGCTTCAGGATTTGAAATAATAAAGTAAAATTAAACTGTGAGTAAAAGTTTTCTATTGCTCTTATTCAGACCATTAATCAGTCTGATACATAGTGGCAACAAAAATTAATTTACAGGTCTAACTTGCTAAAGAAAAACATCAACCAGTGATACAAATATTGTAATTTTTGGAAACATACAGCAATTTTGGAAAGTATTTATGATAATCAATAACCATAAACTCCCTCTCCCTTTAAATCGTATAGAAAACTGTGGTTAGGTGAGAACAAAACTGGAAAAGACGATGAATCCATTGCAGAGTAATGAATAAGTTAGGAAGTGGCATTGAAACATGAAAGCGGTCTCCGTCATTATTTAGATCAACACTGTCAGATGTTACTTTTTTATTTTTGTATCCATACCTTGCTCAATAGCTTATGCTAATTTAATTCATGAAGTGTTACAGACTGAAAAAAATTCTTTTCCACAAAATTTAATTGCAGATTTAAAAAAGTATTTCAAAACCTATAAACAAATTGGCTATTTTCAAAAATTGTATTTTTTTCCAAAATTATATATAATTAAATATTCATTGTGTATTTGTTGTGGAATATGTTTCAGTTGGTGCTACAACTTTCTTATTATATGCATGGATCACACCATCTGATTCCAAGCATAATTAAAAGCTTACTGTATATTAATTTCAAAATATGTTTATCTACTTGTCCTATATTATAATTAAGAGATACCGAGCTATTTTGTCATGTGACTAATAAACAAATCATTTTAGAATTGTATTGCCAATTTAGGTGTCTTTAATTCTATAAAACACTGTAAAATGTTTCAAGAAATAAAATCGTGTGGTTACATACGATTTGAGATTATAATCAATACTGGATGAAGAAAAAAAAACAAATCAGAAATTATTTAGAAAAATTTTATTATCAGAAACATTTAACAATCATAAAACTAAAACATAAAACAGCAATCTTCATAAAATAATAAGAACAAAATTTTCATCATTTACTAAAATAATTTTTCACCTATTTAACAATTTTAATGGATATAATATTTACAATCAATTTTTTGAAAGTATATAACAAAAATAAAACTATAACTACTATCAAATATAGTGAAATAGTATGTGAAAATATTCTTTTCAAACAAAAAAATCCTTATTTTAATATAAAAATACTATTTGAACTAGATTATCAGTTAGTAAAAAAGTCATCAAAATGTAAAAAATATTATTATGTATTTTTCTAAGTTTGAAACTTAATTCATTAAAACTTCCATGGCATATTAGTTAATTATGAACACCTGTTGCTTAATCTAATCTGAATGATTATGAAGATTAGCATTAGGGTATTGTCGAACATTCTCATTAACAAAAAAAAAGTGTTAGTGGAAAATCATTACATCTAAGGATAAGAATTATCTTATCAATCACTTCTTCACAGCCATGTGATTCAAAACAATGAACACAATTTTTAAAAAAATGTACATGAAACACATTAATTACAAAATTCTTATTATTAGCTTATTCCTGTATCCATCATTAATCTACCAAGTAAGAAATGTTAAATGACTGTATTATATTTAAGTTGACCAGAATTCATGACTTGAATAGCATTCATTTATTAATTCCTGAAAATGAATTTTAAACAATAGTTTTAAGTATCATCTATGGTATAATTTATTGAAAGTTTATAAAAACATTTATGTACAGGCTCAAGTTTTTTGGGAAATGTCTTCCCTCTGGTAATTTTGGCTATATCAAATCAAAAATAAAATTATGATGATTTTTTCTACTTTTTTGTCTTTTAATATGCCACACAAGAAGGAAGGAGGAAGGAAAGTGGTTTCAAAAAATGGTAAGCATAAAAATAAAACAAGACTTTTAGCGCTTTAAAAGTTTAAAATGATAGGACTCATTAATGATTTTTCTTTTTTTTTTTCTTTTATAGCTCTATCCGTGTACTGTATGCTGAAAAATTCATGCCGTTCATTAAATATTACAAAAGGAACAAATACTGCAGCCTAGTTTGAGTCAGCCTCAATCATGTCCATCCTACTTTAATTCTCACATTTTTGCTAAAAATATGGCTTAAAATTGTATTATCTTAAAATTTAATTATCACAATATCTATTCCCTGAGTAGTGAGAAAAATAGTTTAAAAAAATCATTACTTCAAAATGAAAATCAACATAAAATAATGAATTTTAGCACTGTAAAAGTGTAATAATGAAAATAGTATCACCAATTTGTTTAGTGTATAGACTGATAACAGCACTATTTGCTGAAGAAATTTTAATCTTGAAAACCTTGCTCTTTTAAAATACGAATTTCCAAAAACTGTCAAGTCTTTTTCAGTGAGTTTTGATTTAGAATATGAGAGTTCAGGGCGAAAAAACATGAAAGTTATGTTTTATATCTCAATACATTTTTGGATGATTATTTATGAGAATTTATCGCACAAATTTGGTGACTGACTCAATCGGTTAGAGAATTATATTGTATCAAATATGGCTGAAAATTGTGGTATCTAAATGATGCATCAGCAGCATACAGTATAAAGTTACGATGGGGCATCATCATCAAAATCTTAGGGCATCATCAGAGAAATTATATATTAGTTATGTAAGTTTTTGTGACAGCGATAGCTACTATATACTATCCCATTAACTACCATGTGTAAGCACCTCACTATTTAATCTTATCAACTGTAATTGTGATCGGTAAATGGGGAATATTATTCTAAAAATAGATTCTATATTATTTTTTTATGCTATTAAATTCCTTGTGGATGAATAGAAGCCATCTATATCAACATGAGAGAAACTGAAAACTGTCCATAAGGAATTCAATAACATAAAAATGTTGGATAGAACCCATTTTGATTACAAAAATGAAAATTACACATTCATATGAAAAATATTTTTTTACAATTACAATTACAGGTGATAAGGTTGGCTGTCACTTCAGCAAAAAGTGGTGTAGCTTCCATAGAATTTATGTATTGATAACAATTTTTGGATTAAACAAGAAAATCAAGAATCTTTTTATTATTACACTTTTATAGCCCTAAAATCATGTTTTATGTTGACTTTCATTTTATAGTTGTCAATTTTTTTTTTTTTACCATTTTCTTCCTAACAACTTAGGGGATGTAGAAAATGGATAGTGAAACATGATCTCTTTTTTTTTTTGTTTTAATTTTGATTTTAAACCTGCATAATTACCAGAGTTAGAGATATTTCCTCAAAACATATTTTTAGTTGAAAAGTAAATTCAAAAAGACTGCCAAGAAAAAAGTATGAACCTTAAAAATTTTTCAACATGTTTGAATTCACCATTAAATAGAGTAACTGGTATGATAAAAATCAGAAATGTATACCAACATGGTCTGGATGATTTCAAATGATTGAAAACTAAACATTTTATAACTTTACAATTTCAATAATAACTGCTCACTATTTTCATTTTTGTTTGAAGGATGAAAATGTAAAATTTACAGCAATGCAAAAATACGATAAAATTTACTCTTCAGCTTAGCCTTTATAAAGTTTAGGAAGTATCACATGACAAAAAAATATTTAAGATAAAAATTAGATGCAACGTAATAAATATTTAGTGGAATAAAGAATAAAAACATGAATCATAATAGAAAATATCTACAAAAATAGTATAGAAATTCTTACATTCAAAACTTCTGCAACAGTTTTATTTCTTGGTTCGACAGCAAGCAATATATCACTGGATAATGATAGGGGCACCAAAGAGACTGGGCCATTTTTAGAGTTGATTCTGTGCCTGAAAAATCAAATTGTTAAAGAACATGCAGATGTTGTTAGAGAGAAATTTTGAGCAACTCACCAATGAGGTTTGAAATAAATGTGACTATAAGTAACCTATATATACATCCTTAACATAAGATGTTTCTTGGTTTTTATTCAAAGACATTTGAATACCAGCCATTGAATCGATAAAGCATAGTGTTTATTAGATATTTTGGTTTAAAAGTATATAATTTAAAAAAAAAATTAATCTATAAACAGATTGTATCAGTCAATTAAATTATTCTGATCATACTAGTTAATCATTTGATGGGACTCCGTTGTGTTCCTAGGTTATTTAGATAGTTTAACAAATTACCTTGACCAACCTTTTTTATAAATAACTTACAATCCAATATTGCTAGGAAACCTAGCGAAATTTTTAACAAGGAATAAGGAAACATAAATTTTTTAAAAGTTCTTTGGTTCAAATAATATTAACAAATTACTGCATAAAATGTGTTTTAACCAGGAATTTGAAACTGAAATGGAACTTTTTTAAAGAGATGACCATGCACACACACACCCTACACAAAAATTTTACCCAAATACAATACTTTACTTACTTAAGTGGTAGAAGGAAATTAAAATCAAATAGTTAGAGCAATAATATAACTTAATGAAATTAAATGATTTACTATAAAACAAGAAGAAATTTTATAGCTTATGAATTTCATAGATGAATAACTTACGTTGGCAATTGATCATTAGAAATATGTTAAATACAAGTTTTTTTCATAAATGAACCATGGAATGAAAAAATTTTAATTTGATTTTCTCAACATGCCTTTGTTATTTTACTATTTTGAACTCTAGTATTAAAGTGTTGATCAATAATGAGTCAATTGAGGCAGGCGAACTTGTTTTTAATCGTTTTTATTGTTAAGCATGCAAGAATTTTTCACAAGTGTAGTATTATTTGTAAAATTTAAATGGAAAATAGTTAGTTACCCAATATTATTTAACAATATCATTTAAAATTAAAAATGAAATTCATTAATAGTAACTCTAAAAATGTAACATTAAGATATTGGAAAAGAATTTTACTTATTTTTCTTAGTTATTGTGTACTTTAACACAAAAATATAAAGAATTTCTATACAAGCTGCCTACCTCTTTAATTCAGCATATAGCTGTTTGTGGTCTGGTGTTACAATAAATGGAGCCACATTGATTTGATGTTGGTAGAGCCTATGTTTGGCCAACATTGATGGTACACCTTTTGCAAACTTGGTAAGTAGTTCATCCATAATAATATATATCTCAGAATTATATCTAATCAAATGTATTATTGTATTGAACAAATCTGAAATTACAACCAATAGAAATATATTATAAGACATTTTACAAAAGAAAAGAATAATTTTTTTAAGAGTCAAATAATAATAATAGGTCTTAAGTATATATGTTTTTAGTTATGCTGTTAATATTTAGATACAATTAAAAAAAAATAGACATAATTTATAAGACAATTCACAAAAGAAAAGAATAATTTATTTAAGAGTCAAATAATAATAGGCCTTAAGTATATATGTTTTTAGGTACAATAAAAACAAATCCTATATTTGAACATTGAAACTTTTAGTGAATTAATAATTGAAGAATATATATATATATAAAGGAGCAGAGTAGTTTAGTAAGTAGAGCACTGTGCTCCTAAGCTTTACTATAGCTGTTGGGGATAGTCTTGGTGAAATCACCTCCTTACACAACCGTTGACCAAGAAACAATACTTCCTTTACGAAGAATTAAACTCAAGATTCTTCCATGGGTTGTATTTATAAATAAGCTGTTTATTTTGAAAATGGTGTAAGTCCATTTTCCAAAAACATCATGTTAGCTTCTTTAATAATAACATTTTCACATTATCTTTTCATTCTGAAGCAAATTGTTATAATATATTTAAAAACATTAAAGTTTTGTAACATGAAAATTTGATGGTTAGTGAAGTGATGACAAAGTTTTTTTTGAAAGTGGCAAGAGTTTCAAATGGATAAGGAAAACATGCAATAAAATTTTATCAGATCACAGCTTTATTTTTAATTTTCGAAGTAGCAGTTGAATTACCAATGTTCATTGGATTTGTTACAAACAATTAATTCAAATTTCACTTTCAATCCAGTAATGGATTAATTAGGGTCTTTGGATACACTCTTGTAATTAGTTAATTACATCTACAACTAGTTCAGCAATTAGTTAATAATTTGTTTACAACAAATTAAATTTAAACAACTGTATAAGAATATTAAAATATCTAAGGAGGAAACTTGTGAAACTTGTAGTGGCAGGCCACTCACAGCTGTTAGACCTATAGCTGTCAAATTTATATCCTTAATAAATAGTTTACGAAATATTTAATACTGAAATGGTGGTAAGTCTGTAGATCGATACAGGACAAATTGAACTTTCATGATTTTGATGTGTACACCAAGACCCGGATAGTTCCTTTGGAAATATCAGGTCCTGCGTTTTCGAGCCCAAAAACGTAACATTTTCGAGATAATACAAGACAAAGGGTTCCCATCCACAAAATATAAGAGCTTATTTTCTCCCTCCCACTCACTTTCTCTCTCTCTCGCTTCATTCCCAGAATATGCTGTAAATGTAATGTGTATCATGGACTTGAACTTGACCAAGCTAGTTTAAAGAGTTTTCCAGCCCTACAATTTTCCGTATTGAATATAGTTAACAAATAAACAATATTAACACAAAACAAAATACCAATTTAATTTAAACATATTATATTATTAAAAAGTCTAATTTTAATACGCAAAAATCACCAAAAAGGATTACAAATTTTATAGTAACCACAAAAAATGTGGGACCTAAAGAAACTATAAAATAACTCATAGTTATTACCCTAGGCAATAAAACTCACATTAGAGCTATCTCGTTAATCAGTAGTACTATTTTAAAAAAATAGGATCATATCAATACAACCATTCAGACTAACCATACTACAGATAAATATAATATATTACAAATATACTACATATTACTTAAGCGTGCACCTATTCAATAAACTAGGAGAATGAAAGCAAATCTTGTTTTCTTCTCATTACTTACAGAAAACTGCATAAATTGAATAATTAGAGCGCATAAATATCAGGAATTTCCAAATTGCAAAAAATTATCAAATAGATTGTTAAAATGTAGACATAAGGTGTGAAAAATGAATACTAAATAAGGGAAAATAAACATACTTGCAGGTATAACTTTTGGGTCTCTACCATCCTTAACAACATCTGAGGAACTATGGATATCCCTCAGTGAGTTATTATTATTACAATTTTTACTATAATAATCTTCTCTCTCGGAATATGACCTTAAAAAAAAAAAAAAAAATGAAAATCCTCAAGAGGAACTTTATACAATAAGATATGGATAGAAATAATAATAATAAAATAAAAAAATGTCTTCTATTCAGCATTGAATTGGTTCACTGAGTAGTAACCAGTTTTGGTATAAATCATTGAAGGTGTAAATGCTCAAACTTTCCAGAAAATAGAAAAATATTCTCATACCAATAATTAAACTGAGCAGCTAAAATAAAAAAAATAAATAAATATAATAATTCTAACTTCTATTGAGTTGAAATTATTAAAGATTTTATTTTAGTGAATTTTGAAAATAATTGTTTTGTTTTTATAGGCTTTACTTAGAAATTATTACTTTCAATAATCACCATTATGAATTTTGAATGAAATAGGTTAAGGGAATTAATACTCATGATTTCGATCACCTTTTATACTATACAACAAAACCATTCTGAAGAGACAATTTGTATAGGCCAGGCCTCTCAATGTGGACCATAATAGAAAACATGCATTACTTACTGGTATGGAGAATGGCATCCATCAATACTATGATAGTTATCACTCTTATCAGCAAGGCTAGGGGGAATTGGAATACTTGAATTATTAGAACTTATCTCAACTTTTTCAAAGCTTGCCTAGAAACAGTAAAATTAATTTAAGAGGCAAAAATTTAGAGATAACCCTTTGAATTAAATTCTAAAGAATACCTTAAGAGTTGAATTAATTGCATTATCTGAAGTATTATGATTTATAACGCTATTGCCATTTTGTAATTGAGAATTGTAACCTATGCTACTCCATAATTCAGTTTGTATATTTTCTAGGAACTTGTTTTCAAATAAATCAATTAAGGAATAATATGTTTGATTCCAAGCGTCACATATTAATTTCTATAAAAAAAAAAAAAAAATGAACCAATGATAGTATGTTTATAACATAAATGGAGTATTAAAGGAAATATGATACTTATATATAATAGTTTATAAGTAAAGTTACTTACTGGTTTCTTCATAAATAATTCAAGTACATCGTTTTGAGTACACTTATTTGAAGAAAAATAATCAAATATTTCAGTCAAATTGTCATCACTCGATTCATTAAAAAATTCATGACTAGCCTGCAAATATATCAAAATATCATTTAGACTTAATAAAAAAATGAACTAATAATACAAAGTAAGAAGGTTGTTGTTAAAGACATAACTATACCTTAAAAGAGAACAATCAAAGGTTTATCTCAGACTACAAATTTTGTAATGTACTAATTTTAAAAAATATTTAATACAAGTAATATTTAATACAAAGTATTTAATTTTTTAATGAACTAATAATACGGAGTAAGAAGGGGTGTTGTTAAGGACATAACTAGATTTTAAAAAAGCACAATCAAAGGTTTATCGCAGACTACAAATTTTTTAAGTTTACTTTGATCTTCTCTTGGTTTTTTTGTATAGTAATTTTGGCATACAAAAAGTTATTAAGTAACCATAGTCCGTAGACTTGTTTTTCTTCCACACCCATAAATTTAATACTACTTGAAATATTTTTAGCAACAGGCACTTCTTCACGCCTTCTCCCACAAAAGTACAATAAAATAGTTTTTAAAACTATTTCAGTGATAGCTTAAGTATATAGTACTTTTGCTTTATACAACAATAACGAAAAAAATCTAAACAATGTTTTCAATAGGAATAAACGTTAGGAGATCCCTTGAGTCCAAATAATCAAGTTTCAAACAATCGTCTTTGCGTAAGAATGAGTATCTGAACAGTTTAGTTAAAAAAAAAATAAAAAGTCATATGAAAAGGAAATTAAATATTTGAGGTAAGTATAAGGCTAGGACGTTACAGGAAAAATTGACTAACAGGAAATAGAACTTTATATCACAGATTTTACACATTTTTATAATTTTCTGAAAGGCCTAGTCAACTGGAAACTCTTCCATCAAATGCTTTTCGATCAAATTGACCTCAGAATAACCCTGAAAACCCCAGAAGACCTTGACAATGCTGTCTATTCCTTAACCACCACCATTAACCATACCATTTACTACATCCTTGACCTAATCCATACCAGATTGCCAGATTGTGCCGTGCCAGATTGTTATGGCAACGTACCAGACATCCCACCGACCGCAGCTCCTATAACTATCTCTTTTTTTTTTCTTTATTCCCTCTGGAATATCACCAAAAAAATCCTAAAAACCCATAATATTTCCCATCCCCTCCGTCGAGATAGTAGAAGGATTCCTTTCTTCACCAATTCCACTCTCTTTACCACCAAAAGCAGTTCATCCATCTGAGGTCAAATATCATTTACAAAAAATATCTGCCCACAAATCTCCTGGATACGACCTTCTAACCCCACATATCCTTCATCAACTACCACCCAAAGCAATCATGTTCCTCACACACATATACAACTGCATCCTAAGAACTACCCATTTTCCTCTCTTATGGAAACATTCCACCATCGTCCTTTCCTTGAAACCTGGTAAACCTTTCAATAATACATCATCATATAGACCAATTAGCCTACTCCCAATTCTTTCAAAAATTTTTGAAAAAATCCTACTGAAAAGATTCCTACCCATAATAGAATTCCAAAATCTTCCTACCCACCAATTCGGATTTCACTTCCAACATTCCACTGTCCAACAAGGACTCCGACTTGTTGACCACATTTCCTCAGACCTAGAAAGCAAAGAGTATTGTTCGGGAGCATTCCTGGACATCGCGCAAGCTTTTGACTGGGTATGGCACGCCGGACTGCTCTTCAAGCTTAAATCCCAACTACCTCATTCCTTATATCTTCTTATCTAATATCTTCTTTTTTATTCTTATCCTCTGATCCTACCTCTCTGACCGCTTCTTTCAAGTTTGCTGTGGTACAAAATCCTCCAACTGTCATTCAATCAAGGCGACGTCTTGGGTCCTGTCCTCTACATTCTGTTTACTGCTGATATTCCTACTCATCCCGAAACACTCCTGGCAACATTCGCTGATGATACAGCCATCTTATCTTCCAATCCAGATCCTGAAACAACATCCTTAAACCTACAACGTCACCTTTCGCTTATTGAACACTGGTGTAATAAGTGGCGAATCCAAGTAAATGAATCAAAATCCAAACATATCACTTTTACCCTTCGACGTAATTCCTGTCCACCAGTCTACTTTTACTCCGTACCACTTCCTCTGTCCGACTCAGTCCGGTATCTTGGCTTTATTCTAGACAAAAGACTAACATGGAACCCACACACCAGACTTAAAAGACGATACGGACAACTATATAGACTATTGAATAGAAAATCTCAACTTTCAGTCGACAACAAACTACTAATCTACAAGACAATCCTGAAACCTATTTGGACTTACGGAATAGAACTGTGGGGAACAGAAAAACTTTCTTACATCAAACGCATTCAATCCTTCCAGTCTAAAATCCTCAGATCAATAGTCGATGCTCCCTTCTATATATCCAATAAAACTCTCCATAATGACCTTCATATCCCATTTGTTCTTGACCTTATCCCAGACAAATTTTCCAAATTTCACTAGAACCTCACTCATCATCCAAATCCTGTAGCACAATCCCTATCTAGCTCCAGTCATCCCTACAATCCTTCCCGGAAGTTAAAACGGCAGTGGCCCCGCGACCTTCTGTAAATGTTTATATATTGGAGTTCTGGCAATGGCCAGATTCTCCACTCAAGACATGAGCGTCTGTTGCTGTAGTGCCCTCCATCAGTTTCCACTGGTTTTAAATAAGAGTGACGAGGCTGAGAGAGAAGCACTGGGATCTCCTGGAGTCCTGCCTTGGCTTCCACATCGGGGGATAAGGCATGACTCAGAGTCCCCTGGGTGAATGTAAATATTGTACATAGGTGTGAATGTGATTTATTTACTTTAATTTCATTTAGCTTTTATCTATTATTTCATTTTTTTTGTACACAGGCATATCAATTTACTTATTTTATTTTTTTATACTTCTTTTTCTTTATTAATGATATATTAATTGTATGTACATTGTGAATGAATCATGTAGCCTTAATATTAATGCCCTTTAATGTTGTAGAATGTATTAATATTCAACAAAGAAAAAGAAAAAAAAAAAAATTCTGAAAAAAGGTTTGTAACAATTTACATTAAACATATGGAATTTAATATAAGGCAGGTACTTTCTTCATTGAATGGTCTGACAGAGCTGAAATTTCAAAATTTATTCTTACAAAGTACCTTTTTAATTTTGTTTATTTAAAATAATTAACCATTTAGTAATAAAACATAGTTAAATACAAACTATAAATGAATTTGATTAGTTAAGGTTAGTAAGATGATTATTTTAAAATAATTATACCTGTTCAAAAATATGGTTGATATCATTCCAACTTTCTACACCATTAAACCAGTAAGGCAAAAGCTGCAAATATGAAAACAAAATAAATAAATAAAAATTAACTCTGATGAAAAATAAATGTCAATGTTTATACATAATATAATAAAAAAATGTATAAATACTTTTAGAAAATAATCTGGATGAGTTCCAAGAGAATTCTTATGAACAGAATTAGATTCTTTTTCAGTAAGATTGTTTGGTATATGACTTCCAGATCTATACTAAAATAGAAAAAAATAAAATTATTAATAAGAATAGATTAATTATATCAAAATAAATTCACTACAAAAAATATTCTATAATATGGTGAAATTTATGCCAAAAATGAAAAATTATTCTGGATTACTCAAATTATAATGCTTTAAGTGCCCAACATTCCCTTGGCATAGGATTAAATAAAACAAAACAAAAATGTGACTTACATAATCACTTGGTGGTGGTGACTTATCAACCAGATAAGCAGCAAAACCATTTTCAACTAACATAAAGTTTATCACACAATCTTCTGAACCTCTTGTGTCAACTAACATCACCGATGCTACCTGAAATAGAACATAATTATCCGTATTGTCATTTATTAATTACAAAAATACCAATGAATTATAATTTTCTATTGTTTAATCAAACTATTTTAGATATGGCTTAGTATTTAAATTTTTTACTATGGTGAAAGATAATCCTGAAAACCCCTGAAATAAAAAATATTGATTATTGCAGTTCGCTACTGAAGCTCAAAATATTTCATTTGAATCCAAAATTTAACTAGAGTAATTTGTAGTAAATGATTAATAATCTTTGTTGGGTTAGTTGAGAATTAACTTAACATAGAACGAAGTGGCCATCGTGCCACTATTTTGATTACATTTTAACAGCTTTTGTAATTTTCTCATATCATACTCTCGAACTGATGAAGTTATGAGGTTCGCACGTAATATAATTGATGCATTGCGTCAAAATCACTTGACCAAATGAGTAGTGTGTACAGAAACAAAACTGTAGTGAATTTTAAATAGGGTGTAAGTTCAAAATTACAAAAAAAACAGACAGGATATTAATGTTGCAGGATTGGAAAGAGCTGCTCAAGAGATGACACCAATGATAGGTCACAAAAATATAAAACATGCAACAAAGCAATTGAGAGATGGTGCACCTGCACCCTGTTAAGGAGCAATTTGTGTAAGATTTTCATCAATGCCAGGGCATATAGACATTGATCTTTGTGGTCGCTGATGTTGAAAAAACAATAGGCCTTAGCTGGCATATGTTCCACAAATATATATTCGTCGATAATCCATTTTGATAAATATATAAAGACACGATGACGTGTGTGACCATCTTTGGTTTTGCGCTAGTTGAAGAGTCCCCAGGATTCTTCATTAAATGATTATTTATTGAGTTTATATATTCTTTTTTTTTTTCTCTTTAGATCTTCAACCACACCTGTCACAAACATGACAATAAACAGATTTGTTGTAATTGATTAAAAAAATGGCATTTTATGCAAGAGGAAGAATAGTACCCAGCAACACCCCTTTTTGTTTACTTCCTTAATTCAGGAAAGGATATCCCTCATCCAGCTCCTTTTCAGTCGCCTCTTGTTGGGCATGTCAGCCATTAAGTCTGTTTAGGGTCGTCGCATGGACAAGGCACCGCGAATAGGGAGGTCACGGATTAAAAATCTATAATATGCATAACGTTTTATAGTCAATTTATATTATTATAATTATTTCTATAGAATAGAGAAAAGTTTATCGGATTCAACAACCAGACACCACAAAAGCGGAGACAGCACACCCCTCTGTGGACACCCTTCAACAAGTTTAAGCAACAGTACAGATAATCCCAACTCAGATTTAAGGACTCTTCCTCTCAGAACCGAATTAATCCATTCCAAAGCCACATGTCCAACCCCTCTACTTTCCAACACCCTAGTTATTGTATCATATCTTCAATATCAACGAAGATACCCGCCATTATCTCTTTTTGCGATAAACTTTTCTCTTTTTTCAATAATTTACTTGCATTCATTGTCAAACCATCTATTTCTTTTCCTTGGTTCTATATTTCCAACAGTTTTTCCAGCTGCAGTTGAGAACATCCAATCTAGTTTGTTCCACATGCCATCAATGGTTAAACCTTCAACTATATCTATATGATGGTCCGAAATCTTCTGATTAATATTTTCCTGATACTGTAGTGCTGTTTCATTCTCCAGTTTTTCGGCATTCCACTTTTTCTTGGGCACACAGAGCGCTACCTACCCTAATTCTTTGCTTGAATTTCATCACTACTGGGTAGTAATCTGAGTCAATACCAAGACCCCTGAAGCTGCTGACATCTATTCTGCAACTACAATGCCTATTATCCACTATTTGGTTTGCATTTTGACCAACAGTAACAGAAACTGATGAAATAAATGTGATCATTGCAATTTATTAATATAAGAAGAGTTCAGAAATTACAATTGTCTAACAGAATATGGTTATTATTTTGTGAGGATGTTTTGATAGGGAAACTATGCTATCAGAACTTAAAAATAAACTGCTCCAAAATGAATAGAGATATTTCTGATTGATTCTTATTTTATTCAAATATCCTTTTTTTTTTTTTTTTTTTTTTTTTTTTTTTTTTTTTTTTTTTTTTTTTTTTTTTTTTTTTTTTTGTTAGGGATCCTGTTAGTTGTTTTCAACTTTTCTCAATTGCAATCCAGTAATATTCTGTTTAACGATGGTAAGGCATCATCTTAAACCAAAAGTTCACAATATTATCATGAAAATAAGCTTAAGGGTACCACCAAGTGGGTATTCCCAATGCATTTGTAGTCTACCAGAGTGTGGTTTCCCAGGCTTTAGCCAGATTCAGAGAAACTGGTAGTGCTAATAGGAGACCTGGTAACGGAACTCAACACATTACGACGAGGGATGACAGGAATATTGTTATTACTGCAAGACGCAACCCTTTACATAGGTGTCTGACAAATCCTAAGTGAAGTGTTGAATGTTCTGCCAAGGCCCAGAGTAATACTAACCATTCGTAATGGTTTGTGTGAAGTTGGTATAACATCTTATGCTCCTTTAAGACGAACTGCAGTAACAGCAGATTATGGTGCAGTAAGTGGCTTATATAGACAAATTGGAATACTCTTACGTTTACAGACGAGTTGTGTTTCTGTATTTATAGCGACAGTAGGCGTAGAAGAGTCTACCATGAACAGCGGATGGGTTCACAGCCACAGTTTGTGCTCATTTCAATGTAATCTGGAGGTCGGAGTGATAATCAGCTCATATTTCTGTTTTCTTGACTAAAACGCACGACCTCATAGGAGAAGAGTTGTTCATGAATGTCTTGAAGACCTCAGAATTTCACAAGTTTCTAGATCTCAATCCCACAGAGCACACGTGAGATGCCCTGCAGAGAAAGCTTTTTGACCACCATCTATGGCCTCTTAACCTTCTGCAAGTGGGCGCTGTATTAGTATACTATATTTATGGTAAGAAATTCCTTGCAAGATCGTAATAAACAGTATGCCCAACAGGGGTAGAGAGGTAGTGTGTAACAGAAGAAATTGAACAAATTATTAATTGCATAAAATGCTTACAATTCGCCATAAAAAACAAAGATCACAAAAATCTTAAATTTTATTATTTTTTTCTGGGAAGTTGTCTATTTATTTTTAGTTATTTGGCAATAATAACTAAATAATTGCAGTTCCGAAGATGGGAATAAATATCCCGAAACGTCAACTAACTTGTTAACATCTAACGTTGATAATAGAAATATACTCAATTGTTACCAATTAAATTTTATTATTTTTGTAAAACATCTTTTATTTATTTCCAGTTATCTGAATGTAGCTCTATTGCATCTTTGTTGATTCTTGCCAACTTTTTGAGGCATTGTATGTAATGAGTATGTAGAGGCTTCCTGATGGATTGCTCTGAACTACATGCCCCACCCATATTTTACTCCTTTCCATTATATCATGTGATATTGATTGATCAGATTCTGTAAGCAGTTTATCTAGGGGTCCTTCTATTCAAGAAATTCCATAGATTTCTTGAAAATATTTCACCATTCAGCCATATCTTATTAAATTCGACTTTTTTTAATTTATAAAATCAATCATAACACTAAAATATGATTTTTTTTTTTCATTTTTAATTGAATTGATAACAAATAATATACTTTCTATTAAAAATACATAGAACAAAAAAAATACTATTCCTTACTGAACTGTTCGGAGATTGAGTAATGGGGAAGAGCCTTTATTAATGTATTTTAGAATATAAATAAAATAGAGAATTATCCACATAATGCATTCTATGATGTAAAGAATTACATTAGGTAAATACAGTAGTACAACTTTTTATGACCAAATTTTTAGTTTAAACAAAATTTTAAAAATACTCGTGAGTGTTAAAAAATTGTTATATATCAGATTGTGGAACAGACAAATACATTACATTTTGTAATTCTAACGGTGCAAACTGGGCTGAGATGTGTTAAACATCATTCAGGTACTTCTACATATTTAAATTTAGCGGGCTGTAAGAATAGAGCATTGTCTAAAATTAAATGAAGAATAAAATTACTATTTTTTAACAAACCTAAAATAAATGGTCTATTCTGAATGTAGTGGACATATCTTTTTTTTCAATAATCTACACCTTCTGCAAAGATTTTCAAGAGTAGCTCAATTCCAGAATTTTTTTACACTGAGATTCAGCAATTTATACAGCTAAATACAAAAATATTAACCACTCTTTTACAAAACACAAAAATTTATCCTTTTAGAGATCTTAATTAATTATTGTTGGAAATAAAAATTGAATAAAATATAAAACGGAGTGTGCAAACAGCAAATCGTACATTTTATCGAATCGGAATGTAATTCTCGTTAATGTTCCATTATTGAATCTTTCTTTCTCTAAATCTCAGTATGAAATTGTTTGCTTCTTCACTCAAAATGCAGATTTTTTTGGAAATGGAAGGGAAGGGAGTGAGAGAGAGTTTATTACTATTCTTTTCTATGTAAATATCTATTTTTTTTTTTGTTTTTGTTTTTAAATGTAATTGATTCAATTTAGCGTAAAACCATACATAATTTGTGAATATAATCAAGGGAACCGAATTCTTATAAAGACCCTAGAATAGATCATTTTTGAAAAGTGAAATGGCAAAAAAGGTATATATATTTTCTTATTCTCCCCTTCCTTGCCTTTTAGGCTACACGATGTTTTTCCCAAGGCCGGGGAAATTATGCCGAGTTAAAAGTCCTACCAGGCACCGGGATTTGAACTCATAAATATTTTTCCATCTTCAATTTTGGTTATCATATTGCCGGGCAACGTGCGGTGCTGTGCATATGCGTTGGAGTTCTTGGACACCCGCCCCCTTGTATTTTAAACCTATTATCCGAGATCTAGAAAGATTTGTTGAGAATTTTGCTTTTACTACAACTCTCTAAAAAAGAGAAATCCTTCAAATCCAATTCTTGTTTATTATGAACAAAAGAAAAAGCATTGACTGACTGACTCAAGACTAATTATTAAAATATCAAAACGATGAAATTCATTGATATTATTATGATAGTGAGCTAATTAGAGAAAGTAATGTTTTTCCATATTTTATAATAATCCTTTTCTATATGTAACAATGACCTGAGAAAACAATGAATCTTCTGTAGCAATCGTGAACCATTTTTTTTTTTTTTTTTTTTTTGGTGACTTCATCAACTTAATACACCTTCGTGGCTTCATTATTCAAGTTTTGAATTATTGGGAGTATTGAGAATACAATTAATTTTTAGTGTTTCGACTCACTAGAACCTTTGAAATTTCTTCAGAGAGAAAAAAAAAACCTACTCAAATGACCTTTTTTTCTAGAAATCCTAATTTTGTGATAAAATGAATTAGAGTCAATAATATTCAATTTTTAGAAAGAATAAAACTGCTGAGAAGGCTTATCAAAATTCAGAAGAGGTACAATTCCAATCAAGTTGTTTCCATTTTGTGCTAATTTTTTAATTCTCAAAAGTTCACACAATTAAACAATGTTTAGTCCCAATAAAACAATGAATATTTTCTTTTATGTAACTCATTAACAACAATGGACTCATATACAAGTCAAGAGCCAATCGTGCTCTTTCTCATTAAACAATGGAGTGCTCAATGATCAACTCTACTTTCAAATTATCTCCTGGCCTTTCCATAGGTAAACTACATAATTGTTCTGTGACTGAAGATTTTAGGCATTTTTGAACAACTCCTTAAAAAATAAAAACGCGTAAGTGGTCAGTAGAGGTGATTAAAAGTATTCAGTCCTAAAGTCTCTACTCTAATCGCTCATCGTTGCTAGAAGGTTAAAGCCAATTTCGATTCTACCCACACAAAATATCTTTGATAAAGAGAGTACAAATATATAATTTGAAAATAAAAAATAGATACACTTTCGAGGAATTATACTAACCTCATTGATGATCTCCACTATTTCAGCAACAAATATTTCATTGAATATAGACTGATAAAAGAATTCTAGACATTCTTTGGTCCATGTTTCATTATTTATAGGTTTGATATTATACATATTACATTTGAATGAATATATAGGAGGTTCAGCAAATTTTTTATGAAGAGTTCTCAAATCTTTAAACGAGATACAAGAAGAGGTACCGTAATCAACGTATAAGACCTGGAAAAAAAAAACTCATTGTGTTAAAATAATAATAAAAAAAAGTGTTACAAATAAAATGGGGCATTCTCTATTATCTATATCCATATAAATTTTAGATTTTCCTCATTTTTTGTTTTTGAATAGTGAAGCTTTACTTTAACTTACCTATATATGTAATATGTAGTAAGGGAAAGTATTGCGATCGTAAAACATTTTGAATCCGAGTTTTTAACTGAAATACATATTTTGAGGCCTAATGAGTCAAAAAAATAACCGAAGTTCTGCAAAATGGTCTGTGTATGTGCATGTATTTGTGAATAACCTAACTCAAAAAAGAAAAGTTTTACAAAACTGAAATTGCGTATTTAAGGTTTGTATATGGCTCAGATATTACAGCAACTTTTTTCATAAAATCAGCTTACCGAAAGTGCCACTTTACATCAACGGTCATACACATTTTTACAATTTTCTCAAAAACGGCTCTTAACAATTTTGATCAAACTGGGTGTACTACATTGGGGGGCCCGGTACATGCTATGTGACTGGGAGCCCTTTTCTTGAGATAAAAAAAAAAAAAAAAAATGAAAATTTTGATGGAAGGAATGTCTGTGAATGACATTACTTGTGTTTTTGTTAATTCCCTTGGAACTTGTCTACTTACTGGTCAGAATGATACCACCCTTGTTATCTAATGTTACATCACATAACTTCCTTTCTTATCTCTTGTAAACTGTGAGTTATTCTATTGTTTAGTTTTGTTCCATTTGTGTGATTTTCTTCAAATTATGGATGTTATTACATTCTGGATATTACCATCTTCAGAAGAAGAGACGATCGAATAATTGCCGGGAAAATTCCAAACGTGAAATTGTGTGAAGAAACAAAAAAGCACTTGTAACAAAAAAGTTTCTATGAGGAAAGCAATGTAGGCTAGAAGGGCTGAGGATTTCGTTTTTAACGGCTTTAAAATTAATTTATGGGTAGTCCATAATTTAACAACAATACAGTGGGGCAAAGAGCAGCTGAAACTATCCAAAGCAACTATGATAATGTGGAACAAATTTTTAAGAGAGGTTTGTGCCCATAACGTGTTATACAGGTCAAGTAAAAAAATGGAGGGCCTGGGAAAGTCATTGAAGTAGACGAGAGTCTTTTTTCTAAAAGAAAAAATCATGTAGGGAGTGTTCTACCTGAGGAATGGATGTTTGGCAGAGTTTGCCGAGAAACAGACGAGTGTTCTATCGTCAAAATAAACGACAGAAAGGGAACAACTTATTTGAAGGTATTAAAAACAATATATAAGGGGGAAGCACCATTTATTCTGACCGTTAGAAAGGATACAACACCCAACAACTGAATGAAGCAAACTATAATCATTTCCAGGTGAATCACCAGTATAATTTTGTTGATCCATGAAGTGGAGTCCATACTCAACACATAGAACAATTATGGGGCTCAGCTGGATGGAGAAATAAGGAACATAAAGGAACTGCGAGACAACACCTCGATTCTTATTTATGTGAATTTTTGTGGTGGCGGAATCACAGAGAAGAGGACCCGTTTCTGGATTCCTGTGGTCCATTATGGAGATATTTTTCAATCGAATTTTCGCACTGAGGCTTTCCACGTTCGTTATGCTAAAATTATTTATACTTTAAAATTAATGAAATCAGATAGAGATTATAAAGTTGTATGATATTAAGAAATCAGTAATGGAGGAAGTGTCCACCATGCGAAGTTTCACTGCAAACAATTTTTACCTATCTAAATTTAGCTTCCTTCACATCACATTAAATGAGTTCTAATATGGTATGTATGGTTGTTTTATAGGCAGAACAATACCATAGACGGGGGAGGGGAGGAGTAAATTTTAGTCAATCAATTTTTGTCAGAGTTTTTAAGGTTTGGAGGCATTATTTACCATACCAGACAGTCTTTGTGAGTCATTAATTGTTGAATGAGTTTCCACAAAACCTTTCTGAATCCACAGAGATACCATAATAAAATTTGCAATAAGCATCCTTACATGAGCTCTTCAGTTGACAGAATGACTAACTCCAATTTCAACCTTTTTTATTATTAATTTTAATAATATTTCTATAGAGAATATTAATACCTTTATCCACAGTTTTAAATTTTAACACTGCAATCACCTACTATGGAATCAACTTACTTACTGTCTGTACAGATATAAATTTTCCAAATAGAAATATCACTAAAATGACTGAGAGACTCATATAAGGACACATATTGCAAATTTTATTATATTATCTCTGGTATTATTAGACACATAAAAATATATATTTTTTAAAATAACTTCTTTCGTCTAAGTAACTTAATCTCAGGATAAATTCTATTCAATCTTAAAAACAAATACACTAATTAGTACCTTCACTGATTGTGAGTTTTCTAAAACCTTTTGAATTATTCCCCTATGCCACTGTTTATCATTGAATTTAATGCAGCAAGCCAGGCCAGGGTGAATCATGTCTTCTTTCATCATATAATGTTCCTCTTCTTCATCATAAAAAGTGCTTAAACAATAATTAAGAAACGTTTTTTCTGTGTTGAAAATAGTAACACTAAGTGTTCAATTTCAAAATAAATCCATAAAACACAATTTTTTAATATACTTTAACAAGCTTTCAATGCTTAATTAAATAAGTCACAGTTATTTTTTTTAGGGGAAAGTTCATTTACCATAAATGGTTGTTTAAAAAAAAAACATGTGATTCTGTATATCAGGGAATCCTAACGATACAAAAATAAAATCATAGAAGGATCCACAATAGTTTTGGATGCTAATATATATAAACCAGATCTAACAATCCATGACAAGTAGTTAACAGATAGAAATTAAAAAACTATCTGTTCTATGAGACTAAATGAGTCTATACTATTATACAGGGTGTTTCAGAGTTAAGTGGCCAAACTGAAAATATAAATTAAGGACCTCAAAAAAAGAAAATAAATTGCTATGAAGGTATGTCCTCAAACCCTTTGTTTAGGAGATATTCACACCTATAGATTTTCATTGTTATGAATTATTTATGTTATATTAAGTAAATAAAACTTTTTTATTTGTCCCAACTACTTTAATAATTAAACGTAAACATTAAATTCATATTAAATTTTGTTCAAAGATTTCCTTGAGTATTAAAACAGGCTCAGCATCTTTCTTCAACAGCAGTATTGGCAGAACAGCACTGGATATGTGTTATTGTTTCACAAGATTCAATTATCCTTCTTCGTAAGGAATTAATAAGATCATTGACCGGACTTGCATAGACTTTTCGTTTAATATGCACCCCAAACAAAAAAATCCAGTGGTGTCAGGTCTGGAGAGTGTGCAGGCCAAGCCACTGGTCCTGCACAGCCAATCCATTGATTGGTATAATTAACATTTAGCCATTGTCATGGACCTCTTCCTTAATTTTCAGGGCAACCATCTAATTGAAGCCACATGTCCCTTCTCAGTTGTAGTGAAATATGTTTAACTAAATCATAGTAATCATTGATAAGAAATTCCAGAAATATGCCCGCATTGAGTCGAGGCAGCAAGAAATGCAGACCTATTAAAATATTGAACCTATTTAATATGAATGTTAATGTTTACATTTAATTAATACAGTTAGAACAAATAAATAGGTTTTATTTATTTCATGTAATGTAAATAATTCATAACAATGAAAATCTTTAGGTGTGAATATCTTCTAAACAAAGCATTTGCGGACATACCTTCAGAGGAAATTTTTTTCTTGTTTTGAGATCCTTAGTTCATTTTTGCAATTTGGCCACTTTACCCTGAAATACCCTTATAAAAGGACGGCCTGTTTTTTCTATATAACCCCTGAACATTAAAACTGCTACACCAATTTATATATATATATTTTTTTTCAGAATGATCCTTGTTATCTTGAGGTGATTTTAGGCTATTGAAATCCTCGATCTGATGAATAGAAAGAAAATTAAAAACATTTTGAATCCGTTCAGTTTTCTAAATAATATTTAATAATGTTTAATCCATAGATTACACTGCTGTAGGAATTGTATTGGGAAGATGTTAAAAATGACACTGAAACAACATAATATTAGAGAGTAGCATGGAACAGAGAAAGCTGTGACAGAGGAACTAGTTCTATACAGTTATTAAAAATAATTTTGATTATAATTTATATTTTTGGTGATTAAGCCACCAAGGCACAATGTAAAACAAAATTCACACTAAATATTAATGTAGGTAAAATAAACACATGAAATTTGGAGTGTATTGCACAAACGTCCTGTGATGATATATAAACTATTAAGTCATGAGATGTCTTAGAGCTCTCTGAACTCTTCTATGGATCATTGTTGGAGAACAACTAAGGTTACAGAAAAAAACTGCTAACTTTTTAACAAAAAGTACAATACCAAATTTTTCTTGGGCTATACAATAGCTGTTAGGGCTGTAAGAAAAAATTCACTTACCAATTCACTTAAATTTCTGTTATTTAATATTTCATAATTTATATCTATTATTGTTGCTTAAGTTATTAAAAGTAATTACCAAAACTGTATATTAACCTGTCTACAATGCTCGAAATATTGTGAACGGCTTACACTTCTCTCACAAGTACGATAAAATAGTTTTAAACAATTACAGAATGACAATTTGATGCATAATATATATTGGATTTGTTGAGCTTAAAAAGTAATTTTAAAAGCTTATATAGGTTACAAGATGTGAAAAAGCGCCTCTGGCTGAAAACATTTCAAGCAGTATTTACGGATTTAAGAAAGATGGTGATAACTTTAGGCCTGATAATAGGTTTAGAAATTAAATCAAAGGTCTACTGGAGCAGAAATTAGTTTACAATTAAAGTTGAGCGGTAAATGAAAGTTATGTGATTGATGCACACATCTCATCAGAATTTTATGATAGTTTTTAAAATATATAATATGAAAATATATTTTACCACTTACTTAAGTTCATACATTAAATTGTTTAATGAAGCAGCACTATCAAGAGTCTGGAGCCATAAACAATCAGGACTATTACAATCCGCAACTATAACTTTCATGATTGCTGCTTTAGGCATGATGCACTTTTCATATTGGAAGTCATAACCACATACATTTTCTTGAAAACGCTTCTTTGAGAAAATAGAGTACTGAAAGAAAACAACAGAATTTCTAATAATTTTTTTTTTAAATTAATGATAACATATTCATCTGTTTTCTAAACAAACTTTAATGAACACAAAAAGTATACTTGAAGTATAACCAACTTTATTAAAGTCGTTTAAAACTAAAATCAGACCTGATTGAAGTTATTTCCTGAAAATTATAACTTAATTTAACAAATAATACTTACTGTATCTACTGAAAGGAAGGGGTCAGTAGCTGAATCCTCAAGCTCTTCAACTACCTTTTTACCCCACTTCATGGGAAATACAACATATTCATCATCAATAGTACAACATTCAATACTCTGACAGTTCACTAAAAATGAAGTTACACTTTCAAATCCAAGTTTTTTTACGTCCAACTCAACTTTGAACATTTTCTGAAAAAGAATGATCTATAGAGAACAACTTCTATTGAATAATTAATAAAATATACACAATGAATATATTATACATTGTAATTCAGGAAATTTTACACATATTTTTAAAGAATCTATACCCAAATAATTATATATATATAATAAGGACAAGTATTAATCTTCAGATATTTATATTATAATTAACATTTCTTATGAGTCAACTACACCTTTCACATAAGTTATTGATGATCTACAGATTTTACTCCTGAATCTTCAAATAACTTACCAGATCTCTCAAACTTTTAACAAAATTTGCATTGCAAAATTAGATAAACTACATTCTCCAGGAAAACTGAATTAAAATATACAGTAGCAGAGAATTCATGGATAATAAAAAAAAAAAAAAGAACTAAAATGATTCTATGATTATTATTTAATAATTTAAATTTGCAACGAAGACTTACCTTATACCGTTTCAGAATATCATCACTTATTATTCCATCTGGGTTTGCAAGAGATAATTCTTGCATATTTTCAAGAACTTGTCTCGGAATCCACCGAGTAGAATCATCTAAAAATAGAATATATTTCAATTTTTTCCCCTCTATATGTGGGTCATTTCAAAATTTCGATAACATTTATTTCACTGAAAAGTAATAGGGTAAAATCACACCGGAAGACAGTTAAATATTTTTTTCTCACAATCTGTCAAAACCATACTTACCATTCAATGTTTAATAAAAATTTTAATTATAGCACCCGGAATAAAAAAATGTGAAATGCTATTTTCTCACTCCCTAGTACTGTCACGACCCTAGGTGTTCTAATAATGTCTTGAAATATTTAATGAGGGAACTCAAAAACAAAGGCTAATCAGAAGGTATATGAGGGCTAATCCTGATATTTAGATGAGGACAAAAAATACTAACCAATCCGTCACTTGACAGACCTGCTTTGAAAAGTGTCGTAGGTGTTTATTATCAGTGCCTAGAAAATGTTTAAAGCCACGCAAAAAAGAACATAAAGCGTAATTTTTCTCTGCTTTCAGCCAAAAAGCAACACTGTTTCATTCAACACTGCTTTAGTATACACTATTTATTATACTAAAGATAAGTAAATTTCAATCAAACTTTAATTTATAGTTAAGTTTGGTAGTTATTTGTTTAAGAATATTTTAAAGCTAAGTAAGCTTTTGTTCTCATGAAAGACTAACTGCTCACTCCTAAGCAAACCCCAATATTATGGGAATAAGGTTACAATCACTGGTCCCTTGCCTAGCAACGTGGTCTAAATGGTTTTTTACTTGGTAATATCGGTTTTCTTAATAGCGTTTCTTCTCCCATTCTTCCTTTATTTAATCCCAATCATTTCTTCTTTTCTCATAATACTCCTGATGACCTCCTTAATTCCATTTGTAAATCAAAAACCAATGATTTTGGACCAGACAATATCCCAGTTAAATTGATTAAATCCTCACTTACCTCCATTCTTCCTATTCTTTATCGTATTTATAACTTCTTGTTGCAAAGTTTCACTTTTCCCAACACCTGGAAAACTGCTCTTGTTCGTCCGCTAAATAAACCCTCCAATCCTGCAACCCCTAATGATTTTCACCCAATTTCCCTATTATCTATAACCTTTCCAAACCTTTAGAATGATTAGTTCAACCCCAATTATCCCACTATCTTAAAAATAATCTTCTCAACTACCACCAACCCAGTTTTTGACCTGACTACTCCACTCATTCCACCCTCATTAAAATCTTCCAAGATCTCGATACAGATATAGACCAACAGAAACTCAACATCCTTATTCTGCTTGATTTTTCCAAAGCCTTTACTCAGTAGATCACAATACTCTTAACCAAACTTAAAAATATCTCCTTGTCTTCTAGTGTCCTTAAATGGTTCCACCAATCCTTCCTCACCGGTCACTCCCTGTATGTTGCAGTCCCTAATAATCCTCCATTACATTCTCTATCCTTGTACAGAGGTGTTCCCCAGGGTTCCTCCTTATCTCCCACCCTTTTTTCCATCTATAACAATGACTCACCATTCTCTTTCCTAAACTGGCAACCACAACTGTATGCCAATGACGTCCAAATTTACCTTTCCTTCGATCCGGGTAATTCTACTACAGCAATTCCACAACTGCAAGAAGACATGGACACAATCTGTACTTGGGCAAACCACAATAGCCAAAAAAAGTTGGAAATCAGTGACCCCATATTCGTAACCTCCCCTTTTAAGGATGGAAAATATGGTAGTTGAAAGTTAAACATCACTACAATGTAAATTTTAATAAGCTAAAAAATATAGGTTAAGAAAATCTTCAAGAAAGATAAAATCCATTACAAGTTATGCTTGTCAAGGTGATATATTGCGGACTCCACAATATATAATGAACAATGCCATATGAATATGAACAGTTTTTTAATTTGCTAAATGCTCACCCGATAGAAATCAAGAAAAATTAGAATTAATTATTCCGAGCATCATTTGAACTTAATAGGATTTTGTTGAAATTAAAGAAAATGGTTTAAATCAATTAATCAAAATACACAATAAACTACCTGATTCATTATTCACATCAAAAAGTAACCAGTCCTTGGCATGCTTCTTTTGCTGAATTTTAAAAACATCATGGCATGACATAACTAAATCTTTAATTGTGGGAAATCCATAGTCTTGACAATTTAATCCAATATCAAACATTTTCTGAAATTAATGGAAAATCATTTCTTTTAAAAGTTTGTGTCAGATTGAATAACTTACAAAAAATTAAATAATAATACCGACAGTTAAAATAAAAATTGCTAATAAAAAATCATTTGGATCAAAGAAAATTAAACAGAAACTAATAAAAGTTGTTAGTTATCATGAAAAGTTATTAAGAAGATAATAAACTTTCGAAGTAATAAACCAATAATTCAATAAAAAATCAACATTTTTTCTATTAATAGCATATCATGATTTAAATAATTTTACCCTAAGATTGACAATTAGTACATTATAGAAGTATAGAGGATTTATTATATTATATTAAATAAACAAAAACAAAAAAAAAATTAACTGGTCAAGAGGAAGTTAACTGGCATCTCTCCTCAATATCCCAGTCTTATTCTCGCCACAAACTATTTCTTCTTTCTTAAGTAACATTTTTAAGTTCATTCTAGAGACAATTCTTCAACAAGTACCATGCACTCAAGCATACATGAGAATTGAAATCATCAGAATCTCTAATAAAGGAACTAATTTAAGATAAATGTGATTCTAGACAAACAGATAGTACAGAAGGGAGGGTGTTAAAGGAAAGGGAACAACACTCCTTCCGCCACCATCAGTCAACAGTTTCTGTACATTTTGTATCTCCAAATAAAGTTTTTAGTTTCTGTACATTTTGTATCTCCAAATAAAGTTTTTAGTTTCTGTACATTTTGTATCTCCAAATAAAGTTTTTAGTTTCTGTACATTTTGTATCTCCAAATAAATTTTTTAGTTTCTGTACATTTTTTATCTCCAAATAATTTTTTTAACACACACATAAAAAGGGATGTGATCAGATTAGCACATCAGTTGGATGTACTTGAGCTTGCAAACAACAGCCTCTGTGACATCACAACAAAATTCATACTAAAATGAGTATAACTTTAATACGACTTCCATAATAATATAACTTTGTACTTCAAATAATTATCAATGGCAATTGAAAATTTCTTACCAAATATGTAGAAGCAAGTTTTGAAACTAAAAGGCCATTCTTATGCTTTTTAAGTATTTTCCTGAAATTTTCTTTCATTTTTTCTCCAATTGGGCAACTATCTTCTTCTTCATCTTCTAAATTATCACTAGAAAAAAAATATTAGCACAAAAATTATAGAAATTAAAAAGCAGGAAAGATGTCAATAAATAATATAATTATTAATTAATTTAATAACAGTGATAAAATTAATATAAAATCAGTGATAATGATAAAGTGTAAATCAATATTGAAAATAAATTAGCAAATAAAATTAACTACATTACAAAAATAACATACAATAAATATTATTCCATGATTAATTTTAAGTTAGTGGCATCTAAATCACCTGGTTTGAATTGTATCACAGTCAGCCATTGGTTTTATTTTTTGTGTGAAAACATTCTTTCACACTGTTAACTACACACTGCAAGCAACATTCCCACATTACACGTTAAGGTAAAAATCCCTAGAATCACCTTTTCCAGATAGCAAGTAATTAAGGACACACTTTGTTTCCTTTCAAAAATTCTTTGTCATACATGCTACTTTGTTTTGGAATTCCCTACCAACTTCCATACGCAAATCTTCATCCTTGATCTCATTTAAATATCATTTATTTTTCCTTTTCCTCTGCAATCAATCTTCCGAATATGTGTAAAATAATGTTTTTCGGAGTTGTAAGTCGTATTTAATGTTATCTATACAGATAATTATATATCATCCACATTGTTTATGTGTACAAATATGTGAACTCGCACATCTGGATTTATCTGTAATTTCGTATTTCTACTAGTGCCTTGTCTTTATTTTAATTTTAGATTTAGATAATTTTGAAATTTAATTTATTCTTAATTGTTTCTAATGCCAAAAGATTGTCATTTCATAGTTGTTCTTAAGGGACTTACTGTCCCAGAATAAAATTTACTTTTCTTCTTCTTCTTATTTTTAGCAATGATGGGGAAGCATGTCAGAGGGTACAAAAGATAACCCGTAGCACAAACAGCAAATTGAAAACATAGGGTTGATAACCTGATAAACCAAAAATTAATTTATCTCAAATAAAACAACACCTCTTAGGTTAACATGGAATTTTGAAAATTTTAAAATGAAAACGACCAAAGTAGCACTAACCTTGTTTTTAGCACTGGCTACTGGAATGCCATACCTCTTCAAATAATCAGAAAACTTAAAGCTCTTCAAACTTTGTTTAAAGCACTTTATTTGATTAGGTTGAAAAATTAAGTACATATTCAGATTGAATTTTGAAAACAACAATATTTTTAGACCGACTAAAAAAAGTAGGTAATGTAACTACTTAACATACTGGTGTCCAATGCTTTGTGGGAGTGGAGGGCGAGTTATCGGATGCTTTCATCACCTGCAAGGGCTCAAGTCAGGGAGGAGTAAATGAATATATAGTAGACAGATGAACAGAATATTTCAAGATGCCGCTAAAAGAGGGTCAAAATGCTTGATGAGTTTGGATGATATTAAGCAGGTTTATTATGGTGAAGACCACTTTATCAGCAAGAAAGATTTGCTCTAAGCAATTGGCAAGCAGGTCTGGAGGAAGTAAACGAGGTTTATAATGGTGTAAACCACTTTACTTTAGATTGCTATTGAAGTTGCACATTGGGACTATCTTCACTTTGAAGCAGGTTATAGAGAGGTCTATCGATAAAGGAAAATAGCTCTCCTCGTGCTTAGTGCAATTGCAAAAGATTTTTGAAGGAATCTGAATGGAAAACGATCTTTTGTGAGACTAGTAGATATTTGATCAATCCAAAATGTGAGGCACTAAGCAAATAGATAACCATTTTTCATTCTCTGTGAACTTCTCTATAACCTCTATGACCTACCTTAAAGTGAAGACAGTCCCAATTTGCAACTTATGTTCCAATGTGCGCAACTTGAGTTTCTCAATCCATATCGCTCAGGCAATCGACAATATTTCTAATTTTAGCTTCTACGATTCTTGAGTAGACTTTCTTTGGTACTATAAACAGTAACGAATCTCGAATAACATTTCCTAGTATCTCATTTCCTGTAAAGGGACAAAACTACAGTCCATTCATATAATCTAATACATTTGTAGCCTTTGTACGCACAGCATTTTGGGTTACTTCTTCCAGACCAGCTGACTTGCCGATTGCCTAGAACAAATCTTTCTTGCTGATGAAATGGTCTTCACCATAATAAACTTGCTTAATATCTTCCAAACTGATCAAGCATTTTGACCCCCTTTTAGCAGCATCTTGAAATATTCTGTTCATCTGTCTACTATATATTCGTTCAGCCATATAATGGATACTGATCCTTGTTTTCTTTTCCGAAATTTTGGCACTGTCGTTCGCTTGATGTATTTTTCCAATGTTTGGGTTCAATTTCGCGTTTTCCCTCATTTTGAGACCAAATACTAACAATCAGTTCCAGTTACCTAGAAGAACTTATAGCTTCGCCCTTTCCATATTTCTTTTGTGCAGAGGTAATAATGCACTTTAATATTAAAAGTTCCTATTTTTTATGGTATGGTCCAACTTCCGAATAAAATAAAGGAAATAAAAATGTTTTTTTTAATAGCGATATATGAATTTTACTAAACAATCCATCACCTATTCATTAAAAGTAGTTCAGATTAGGTATATATTATTTTAGTTTATAAAACAGATATTAATATGACTCATTTCCGGGGAAGTATATACAATTTAAATTGCCTCTAAGAATCAGTAAATATATAAAACAAAATGTTAAATTGCAAATATTAAATAAAAAATTCAAGATATTCTGCAAAGTATTTTTGAATTAAGTTTTATTATTATAATTATATAATTTTTATAATAGAGGCCTTCTTTTTAAGTTAAATTTTAAAAAAATAATAATGATAAATAAAAACAAAAATAATAAATTAAAAAAAAAAATTTACAGTTAAATTATTGCATTAATGTTTGTTCGTTAATACAATCAATATAATATAACAAAAACGTTATTATAGCACTATAACTAAGCCATTTATGAGTACTGAGTGGTGTGGTAGAGGCCTGTAGGCACCCACGCCAGTAGCGCTTTTCTGCCGCTTAAGTACATTTTCTACGGAACTACTTCAAATATTTTAAAAAGTAATCAGTGTTTTAGAAAGAGAAATGTATTCTCCAGATGTTTTATTTCAGCACGTTTTGCATTATTTTTGACCGTTTAATTACAAACGATGCTTGATTTTCAACTTGAAAATTTTTTTGTAAAAAAAATTGACTTTACCGATTTTTTTTAATGGCCTAAGCCAATTAGTTTTCAATATTTTTTCATGTTTTATTATTCTCTGACTATCCAGCTTTAATAAAAGACCAACTATGATGAAATTAAGCCAAATGCTGATTCTCAGTAACAAAAAAAAAAACTAAAATCAAAGTCCTCAATCCGCCATATTTGGACACCATTTTGGGGCAGTTCGTTCACTTTTTTTTGGTGGGAACATTGGCTTTTTTTAAATAAATTGTCACAAGGAACACAACGATATGCAATTTATAGGGATGTGGGGAGGGGGGGGGGAGGTACACGGTAAGGGGGTCTGGCCCACAGACTATCTCTAGTTACAAGCGACAATGCAGTGGGGGCTGAAGTGCAATGCAGAATACAGGCAGCCTACAGATGTTACTTTGGACTAGTCCTGCAGCTTAAAAGCAGGGTAATCTCCCAAAAACAAAGCTGTGACCATACAAAACCACCCACCCCTAATTAGGCCTGTTCTTACTGAGGCGTGGAAACTGACCTGGGCATTGGAGGAAGACTTGCGCCGCTTCAAAAGGAAGGTGCTCAGGAGGATTTTGGGATCAATCTATGATCCAGAGGGGCCCAATGGGAGAAGGCGAACAAACCAAGAAATAATGACCATGTACAAGGATTGGGACATCATCCGTTTTAAAAAGGTGGGACGGCTCCGGTGGGCTGGTCATGTGGCTAGGATGAACCCAGAGGAGCCAAATCGAAAGATTCTGATTGAGAAGATCGAAACCAAAAGAAGAGTCGGACGCCCAAGACTGAGCTAAAAGGATGGTGTGACATCGGACGCCCACTCCATCCTGGGAATAAGAAACTGGCTAGCTGTTAACAGTCCAGCTCAAAAATGAAAGGTCGTACACAAGTGAAATTGCATATTTAAGGTTTTTATATGCTAGGGATGTTACATCAACTTTTTTGTCACAATGGGTTAACTAGGAGTAGCACTTTATATATTCCACTAAACACATTTTTACAATTATCTCGAAAACCGCTTAAACGATTGATTTTGATTAAATTCATTACATCAGTGTAAAATTAAGCAGTTTAAAATAAAATGTGGTTATTATTCTGATTGATGTTTTCTAAAAGGGTTTAAATGGCTGATTTTCAATATTAGCTTCCTCTAAAGTACTTTTAATTTGTTTTATTTGAAACAAACAATTGACCGTTTCACATTAATTTCTAATATGAAAAATTGTTTAATATAAAATATGAAAGAATTTGATAAATAACTGAACGGGAAATAAGAGGAACCAAAGGAATACGAGAGCACCCAAGCTTGCCCAAAAGATTAGAACATGATTCCATACGTATCATGAGCTTAATATAATACGGACTCCGACAATATTACATAAATATACATACGTGGTTTTCATATATGCTATTGTTTGTATTATTTAATATTTAATTGTATAGATTACAGCGATATAAATATTAAAATTTGTATATATGTGGGTACTTATACAAATGACAATACCCACAATGAGATATAATTTTTATTTTTTAAGTCTATAATTTTTATTTTCACTTCACTTTGTCTCAAAATACTTATTTCTGCTAAGAAGAGGATGGTAAGTGAGAGTTGTGTGATGCGCACACTGCACCAGATTTTGATTTTTTTTAATATATTTTTAATATCTAACTATCTCAACAAATCATTTTAGCAAAAAAATCTGTCAGGTTTTTTTCAAGTCAAAAATAGTTTGTTTTCCAGCTTTAGACCATGTACGATTTTAATCATTGATTCTGAAGCGTAGCCAATAGATTAATTCAAACTCTATATTAGTTTATACTTGCTGCTCGCTACATTAAATTCTCTAATATAGTCAGATTAACCAGATGTCTAAACAATCAGGGCTTAGATTAGTAGAACTCTAGTGACAGAAATCTCAGTGATAATATTAACAGGGTGATATATATGCCCACTTGGAACTTGACAGCTATTTCAAAAGTGTCTATTAAAGTTTTATTAAACATTAAGTTACCTTATAGAGAACCTAAACATGGTGTGAGAGGGCCACAGATATGAAGAAGCAATGAGAGAAACATTGAATTCCACCATAATGGGAAATAAAAGAACTTGAGGAGAAGTTTCTCAGAAGTAATAAGAAATAGAAATACTTCTCTAGACAATATAAGAAACCTTATACACAGTTAATGCTGATACGAAAATGGTGATGTACTAACAGACTAGTGCAAGGAATGACTATGCATACTGCCCTTAGAAAGCAAAATTCTTTTTGAAAGAAAAAATCTTCATAAGATCTTTGAAGATATCAGTACTAATAAAGAGTGAAGACATCAAATAAACATATAAAGTAACTTAGTATTCACAATTGTAAATAAAACAGATTTAAAATATAGAAGTACTTACAAAGCTTTTGAAGGATTGTCAACTTTACTATTGTCAGCTAGAAAAAACAAAAAAAAATATTAGTATAATTAATCTAAAAAAGAAGAAACTTCCAACAAAATAAATTGAGTAAGACGTGAATAGGTGCTGATTGTGGTTGATGTTATCATATTAAAACAGCTTAATAGTGTCTCTCGATATGGCAACATCCCATAACTAAAATATATGTATTTTCCTTTTAAAGGGTTACTTTAAATAACATAAAACTGTATTAAATTAGTGACATAATTTTTCTTGTTTATTTTAGGTAGCATGAGCATAATAAAAATAAATATTTAAAAAACTTCAACCAAAAGAAAGTTCCTTAAAATCACATTAATTACAATGCAAATCAAAATAATTGTTCATGTTTTCAGTATAACCTTTATGCATTTCTATATTGTACAGCTATTATAAGTGACTTTATCTGAGATGCTTTTTATTTCCTTAGTTCTTTGTTAGATGTACTTATTCTACATATACATTGTCATGAAATTATTAATCTGTAATTAAAATTTCCGAGAGGTAAAACATGGGAGTAGAGGATTTAGTGATGGGAACGGCCCACGATATAGTCAGTTGTTGCATGAAATCCAGCCGATATAGTCAGGCAATGCCCAGCCTTTGGCTGCATACTCCACTTTTCATCAGTCAGTCATCCTTTACAGTGAATTATTATAAATATATCCTAACATTTGGAGCCCGAATAGGGACTATATTTAATAAATAGGAGGGACTATTATTAAATTATTTTGAAAATATCATAACAATATTTACTGGACAGGAGCCAAATGAGACATGTCTGGTCAAAAACTGGTTACTTTTTGGCATGTAAAGTACTACCAAAGGCTGGGGCTAAACTGAACCTGTCATGAAATGAACTTGAGGCCTGTAACAAATTGATTTAAGATGTATATATATTCATTACTAACACACGCAGAATAAAGAACAATAAAGATCAACTTACAGAAACTGGTCAATCAATATCTCATGATATGAAGTCACAAAGATTAAGATGGGACAACAATGTAGCTTGGAGCAATCCATCTGGAAGCCTCTACACGACAATGAATACCTCAATAGCAGGCAAAAGACCACATGGAAGGGCAAAAAGCAAATAGATCACATAAACATAGATGCATGCAGATAATTGGAAAGAAATCGTCCAAGACAGGCAGAGATGGAGTAGGCTTGTTAAGGTGGCAAAAGATCGACAAGGTTAGTAATGCAAACAGAAAAAAAATTAAAGATTTTTGTCTCAGGTGGAGACAATTAATACAACAGGATACTATGAGATCCTACAAAACCTCAAGAGAGCAATTTAAAAAAAATGGAGGGTAATGTTGATGAAGAGAATGTGTTTGTTGAACGACAACGACCCTCCTCTCCTTGCACTGCCAACTCAACTAAGGCGCTTTTGAACTCATTTGATTGGCAATCTGAACTGCCCAGTATATATCCCTGACATGAAGCATTCAGATTTTCTTTTCACGCCATTCTCAAGACTCACATGGGTGAAATAATATTTCAACCGTTGAGGAGATGAAACTCTTGGAGAGGACGAATAAGATGGCAGAACAATTCCAAAGAGAAAGGCAACAAAACACCTGTTCCATGGTTTAAATCTGTATAGAAGGAGAAGGCATCTACACGGAAAAATAAGTAACATATACACCTTAAATAAAAATAAAATATTATATATATATATATATATTTATATATATGTGTGTGTGTGTGTGTGTGTGTGTGTGTGTGATATATATATACATATACACACACACGCACAAACACACACACATATATATATATATATATATATATATATATATACACACCCACACACATATATATACATATACACACACACACACATACACACACACATATATATATATATATATATATATATATATATATATATATATATATATATATATATATATATATATAATAATTGTATGCCATTTTTAGTAAAGTAAACCTTGTCTACTATTCCGTAGTCAGCAGGATATTAAACAAGGCTATTTATATATATATATATATATATATATATATATATATATATATATATATATGTATATGTCAGTCAGCATATATATATATATATATAAGAGCAGCAACGATTTGATAATATATCTATATATAAATAGCCTTGTTTGATATCCTGCTGACTGACATATTTTTAAAATCGGCGGCTTTGGAATAGTAGACAAGGTTTACTTTACTAAAAATGGCATACATTTTCATAATTCAAACCTATTACAGTGAGTATCTTATTCCAGCCTTGGCTTCAAGACTAAATTATTTAATAAAAATATTCAAAAGATCCAAAAAAATAAATAAAAGAAGATAACATAATGATAATAATAGATTTTAGAACTTTAAAAACTCAAATTAACATAACTATAAATTATTTGTATTCCCTTAAGTCATTATTAAGAGGGTAAATCGGATTAGTTACAGATTATATTATTTTAAGTTTTTTTTATTTAAATACATTCATGAATTCTGCTATAATTTTCCAAATATATATTTTTTTTAATTGAGGAAAATACCTTAAAAAGTTAATTAATAAGTTACCTTTAACTAAACTATGACTCTCTATTGGATAATTATTCTCAAATAATTCATCTCTTGATTTGCCTTCAATATTAGCACAAATTTCATTACTTTTGCTCCCAATATAACTCTTGCCTCCATCAGTACAATAGCCATTAGGCATTGTTAATTTCTTTAACTCCTGAACCTCATTCAAGGAAGACTTTTTTGGAATAAGAGGTAGCTTTGTACGAGTATATTCAGTTTTCAAAGTTGAAAAAGTATTCAGAACAAGTGGCATCTGATCTATATTCCAAAGATTGTGAGACATCTGAGAATATTCGCGAGAAGTATAAGAAAAGTTTTGTTGATGTTGATATGTAGGGATACTCATTAAAGATGGGACGACTGTTTGATGAGTCTCCCAACCTCTGAAAGTAAGAGGATGCTGTGGCACTTCTATCTGTTTTAATGGCTTTATTTCATTTCTAAGGTCATCTGAAAATAATTGAAGAAACATTACTATTGAGAGCAGAAAAAAAAAAGAAGTTAACTAAAAAATAGTTAAATTTTTAATCAATTCTGAGTTACAATTATAATGAAAAATATATATTTTTAAATAACTCCAAATTAAATTGTACTATACTTCAATAAAAAAATGAAATTATTTTATTCATAAATATGATAATAGAATTATTATTATTCTAAAAAAATAATTAAAACATATTTTGTTTTTAATTATTTAAATCATTTTTATGTCAATAGTCATAAACAATTATTTAAATTTGTATTACTTTATTTCTTGTGACGTTTTGGCTATCTAGAGCTATTTATTATCAAGCGGTGGTAGAAAGTTTTTTTTTTTTTTTTTTTTTTTTTTTTTTTTTTTTTATGGTATGTGACTAAGATGCAAAATGCAAGTTTTCTACCTGAGCAGCCCCTTGATCACTTTTGAATATCCATAAAATTGCTAAATTTTCACATTTGTATGGAGTTTTCACCATGAAGGAGCATGTTCTCAACAAAAAACAGTCCATACATTTTTAAACTAGATTAAATTTACTACAATGTCAGATCAGAATAGGCTTGATAAACCTAATAGATTTCAAACTACAGATTTTCAAAATTTTCTAATTTTGATAATTTTTAACTATAATAATTATCATGTTTTATTATAATTGTTTTATTTTTATTATCCTTCCAATCAGACAAAACACCTTTAATTCAAATCTTGTTTACACTTTCATTCTCTCCATTTACACTTTTTGTATACACTTGATGTAAATGTTTGTTAAATAAATTTTATATTTACATTTTGGTCGTCTGGTGATGAACAGTGAAGTCCCTTTCTGCCCTTCAAAATGTTAAAATTAAATAATTGTTTATTTTACTGGCTCATAATAGACAGGTTATTGATTAGTTTAAAATTTTCAAGTTTGAAAAATTAGCCAAATTTTGAAAATCTGTAGTTTGAAACCCATTTAGTTTACCGAGCCTATTTTGGTTTAATATTGTAGTAAATTTAATCTAGTTTAAAAATTTACATATTTTTAAAATGGAAAATGTGCCCCTTCATGGTCAAAATAGAGAAAAACCCAATAAAAGTGCGGAAATTAGAAGTTTTTCAGATATTCAAAAGTTATCCGCTAACAACGCTAAAAATAGTTCCCAGTTGATTCCAAGTTAATTTCAATCAACTTGAAATAAATTGTAAGCTTTAGATTAAATGAATTCAAACCGTCAATCATTTCTTTTCATTCATTCAAATTTTTACTGGTGCATAAAAAAAACTTAATTAATATATCATCTGCATTTTCAAATACCTAGTAAATTGCAATCAGGCAATTTAAAAGAAATGAATTCTTTTATGTATTGAGATTTTGTTTATGTCTATTATAAATTATTTGAATATTAACAGTTATTTATTAATCAATTTAATTTAAGGTTTAAAAACTAAGTAAAATATTGATTTAAAATTAAAAATCTATATGTGAACAAATTTTTACTTCCTTGACTGACAATAAATATGATAGTAGAGCTTATGAGTGAACCATTTTAGTCGAAATTTTGGCCATGTATTAGTTCTGTGAAACGGAGTAACCTAGGTGAAGGCGACTAAGCGAAACAGTGTGACCTGGGCGCTCAAGTGTGGGACGATGTCGGGTTTTTCCTGGTAGAGTAGGGTGAAGTATATAAGTTTTCTATAAATGTAATACCAAGGGTGAAACTTTTTTTTTTTTGAAGTGCCCATTCCATATATTTAATCCAAAAAAAAAAAAAATATGACCATATTTATTTGACTTGGCATGCTCTCGAGCAGATCAATTAGATAAACCTAACTAATGACAATTAAAACAGCGTTTTGACGCTTAAGTGAAAGTCCTGGATTTCGGTTTTTTTCCCGCTGGATTCTGATCTGGGATCTCTAGACAAATTCATAACTTTGGTTCTACTCAATATTTTGTTTTTACTCAAAGCCTTTTTTAAGTCAAACAAAACTAAATATAAAAAAAATTCAAAAGTCTACTATTAGCCATTGCTGAGTTTATCGCTGGCAAAATAATCAAAATAGCATTGGACATTGAGTCACTTACATCCGCGTAAAATTAAAACTTGATCTGAATATTGTGGCGGGAAGGGTGAAATTTTTGGGAGTTTTTTTTTTCCAATTTCCGGGTAATCCATTTGATTAATCCTAAAAATGTATATGACAACATTTGTTAGGTTCAGGAAGTTGAATCACACCTTGAACGGGGAAATCGGACTAAGTTAAAAAATGAGTATGTTTTAAGTGACAATGCGTTACAGATGTTCGGGATTTCGGATTTTCCCCGTTAAGTTGTGATAATTTTTTCCATCAGTTGAATAGTACAGCTTTTAGATGTAGCTCGCAGCAGACTAGGTTGGGATGAGAATCAAAGTAAGTAACTGCCTAACCGGGATCTCTAGACAAATTATTGAAGAATTCATAACTTAGGTTCTACTCAATATTTTGTTTTCATTTAAAGGTTATGTTTTAAGTTAAGCAAACCTAAATATAATGTAAAAATTCCAAAAGTCAACCATTAGCCATTGCTGAGCTTCCCCAGACAAAATTTCATTGGACAATGCGGACATACAGACAGACAACAAATTTTTTAAAAATGGATTTGGTGTCAGTAATGTATGAAACGGAAAAATATCATAAAATGGATTGATTCTATTCAATGTACAGACAAAACCTTTATTGTATTTATATAGATAAAAACTTTTTTTTTTTTGTTCTTCCTTACCTCGCCTTTTAGGCTATACAGGACGCGAACTTGTACTTTATAAATCATCTCAAATCTTGTTCTCCGGTTGCCAGGCAACACGCGGTGCTGTGCACGCGCTTTAGCCCATCCGGCCACCCTGCCCATATATATAAATACTATACCTCTACAATTCAGTTTTAGTAGAGAGTTGGAAAGTTTCAGAAATATATTATATTCATAACTAAAAATAGATACTGATTTACCTCTTGGAAGTTGGACAGGTCTTGGTCTTCTGATAGGACCTTTTTTTGAATTCTTTTTTTGTTCTTGAACCAATTTAGTTATGTGGGATGAATTACTTTGAACAGGAACCAATATGTCTCCACACTCATTTTTTTTAAACTAGAAATAGTTATAAAATTACAAACCAATAAACTAAATTGTAGCAGTAAATAAGCAAAGAAAGAATTACAAAACTTTATATAGAATGTGAATGGTTAGGGTCAATGTCTTCCATATATGTTCAGCAGAATATGCCATATTATAGCCAATATACAATATGTCTCACGTTATAATTATCACTTCTTTTGCAATGGCTATAAATCAATCTTACATTCAAATATATGCATCACGGTCTCTCCATCAATTATTATGGATCAATCATTTTTTGTGAGCATTTTAATTTTTTTAAAAGAATACCTTTAATCCTCTTGGATGGAGTAAAATACCCTAGGGTTACAAGACATATTTGGGCAAAGGGAGGGGGTGGCCATACCACACAGTCATCAGACTATAGACAGCCACTGGCCTTCCAGGTTGGAGGAACAGTACACTGACATTCACCCCAACACATGGAAGAAGTCAAAATTTCTGCCGAAATATAAAATAAGTTAAGGTTGTCTTCATCACAGCCACAACAGTTACCAAAAGGAACAATGCAATCATGGCTTGTCCAGTTTTCAGGGTTTCGGAAGGAAAGGTGGCTGCTAAGGAAGATTTATGTTGCTACTATACTCCCCAATTGTGTCACTACTATACTCCCCAATTGTAAATCATAAGTTATATAAGATATCCTCTAAAAGGTTCCTAGCCAGTGGAAGTGACATAAAGGAATTTATTTACATAAATGGAATGATCTTGCACCAAATTTACCACAGGTAAAAATTAATATATTTACTCTAATTTTATGAAGTATTAAACTATAATACTTCAATTAACACCTAGAAAAAGTATAATTCTTGCATTAATGTCTTCATTCAGTTTGGCAAGGATTGTCTTGTAATAAACTGCCAAGGTATTTCAAGTTAATAAAAGTAATAAATCTATCTATTTGAAAGTAATTACAAGAAAACCACCATTTAAGTACCCCCAAGCAAAAATTACACTTTTTAAGTGTCAAAAGATTCATTAACACGGGTTTAAGAAAATATGAGATATAAAACTGTAATATAATGATGAAAAAAAAGTCTAACACAAAACAATAAACGAAACTTACAGTAAGTATATCAGGCATAGATTTTAAACAATCATTTGCAGTTTTAAAACCATATTGTGCCCATGGGAAACTTCTACCAATCACATCTCTATATTCCTTGACAAATTGGCGAACTGTTAGCGGTGTACCAGATGAACTTAATATACTTGTCACTTCAGTTTTTAATATTTTCAGCTTGTCATCATCCATTATAATTATAATATAAAAAAGGCGAGGCTAAAATTACATTTCTATGGATATTTGTGAAAACAATTAGTACATGGAAACTTAAAAGTATTAATAACAGCAGGAACTAACTGTTTGAATTATTTTCAAAGAAACCACCTAGGGTTATAATAAATAACCTACCTTTAAATTAGTCAACAATTCAGCTGGCGGGAAATAAAATGTAAATAAATATATAAGTCTATACTTTTCAAAGTGCAATTGCGAATTAAAATGGAAAGTAACACATCAATTATATCAATCTAGTTTTAGAACAAAGAATATACTTAATAGTAAATTGAAGCCTAATGAAAACCATACACAGGAAGTTAGTAGATTAAGGCTTCGTTTCCACTAGAGAGTAGCAAATCATCATTGTTGCTTTGAATTTTTATAAAATTTATTTTACCCAAAGTTTTGATGTTATTAAATTCTTAAACGAAAAATAAAAAAAAAATTTATATTATTTTTAGCATTTATTTTGAATTTCTTTGAATTGATATTTAATTTGTTTTGTAAATTTAGTTCAAGTTAATAATTTTTAATTGGTTGACTGTCGTGGATAATGAAGAGAAGAATAGTTGGGGTGCTCAGTCAAAAAAGGAAGGCAAAAAAACAAAAACTTTTAAGTTATTTGGCATATGTAAAAAATAAATATTATAATTTATTTTTTTGCCTTCCTTTTTTGACTGAGCACCCCAACTATTCTTCTCTTCATAGTTCAAGTTAAATTAGTCAAAATAGATAAAATTTGTACATTCATGAAACTTTGATTATAACTTCGTCAGAGTACTAACAATGGAAGTCTACATAGTCTGCCCAAATGAAAAAACAATCCTCCCTGTGATAACCCTAAAATGGGATAATTGAATATTTGCAAAATTAGGTCATATGTCCAGAAAAGTACTTTATGTTTTATGGTTTATTTGTTTCTGAATTGAATGAGTCCACTCTCATGACAATAGAATCAATATTTTTAAAGTTATTGCTTATTTTAAGTTAAATAGTACACAAATAACAATATTTTATGAACAATGTTACTTCAAAATAAATTATTACAAGGGGGGAAGGTACGCTCCGCCTGCGTAACAGCCTTTTACAAATTATACAGGTTTTCATTTAATTGTAATATTCGTTGCTCAAATTGTATAACTGTAATTTACATGATTCTGTAGCTCAGATGGTATTATTTTTTATCAAGATAAAATAAACGGAACAATTTTTTTATTTCTTTAAAAATCTTTATTATACATGGTGCTTTATCACCAATTTATGTAATTATAATTACTCTTATTGCCAATTTCTAAAATGCAAATTAATCTCCAACCTGTCAACAGTTATAGCTATGTTAAACTTTTTCGTAAAATGTTGTCATTTTCAGAAAATGTTGTTTTATTATTCTTATTTTATTCTTTACCCACAACTTTTGTTCATTTGCTGTTTGATTCAATTAAACTCACCCTCCAAGCCCGTCTGCCCAGGTATGGAGGATGAAAAAGAAAGATCTAGAAAGCAATAGGATAGAATTGCTGTATACTATTGTCACGATTGACTCTGACACTACTATTGATAATTTAAGAGAAGTTGGTCCAATCGATCACATGGGGTATTCAGTTGAGAAACTTACATGGTTTCAGACAGTGTTGTAACTGCCAGGAATTTGACCATACAAAAAGATATTATGGCCGCATAATAAAATGCGTTCGCTGTGGTGAAAACCATGATGTGAACGAATGTCTCAGAAATATCCCTCCTGAATGTGGAAACTGCAACAGCCATCATGTGGCCTCTTATGGCAATTGTAAAAAAGGTTTGAACTACTCAAGAATAAAGTTCAAGTACAGGCTGATTCACGACAACAACAAATCCCACACAGGGTAAAGCATCACAAGTTTCACCCACTACTTCAAGTCCCGACTCTTATGCGGGAATTGCTTACCTGGACACAACCACTCACCACCTAACACTAGCGGATCCAGGATTTAATTTTGAGAGGGACTTCAGCCCGAAAGCTTTTTTTTTTCATATACATAACGATAATTACTTTGGGGAAAAAAAAGAAAGATACTAACTACCTCTGTGAAATGGTCTTTAAGTAATTCTTGAAGTCCTAATAATACTTTAAGAGATCATTTTTTACCATAAACATGGTAACGTTTTACCATTTTTATTGGGGGGGGGGGGGGGAAGGAGGAGGCTTCAGCCCGAAGGCCTCCGCCGTAGATCAGCCTGTGCCACCCAACCTTCTTCCTATGACCAAACCACATGGGTCACCGAACCCGCAGGCATGTTCAGGAAAATGAAATTCATGTTCACCACTGTAAATCTTATCCAACAAAAAAAAAAAAATCAATAGCTAGACATTAAATGATAAATTTTTTTTTTCGGTTCTTCCCTACCTCGCCTTTTTAGACTATATGGTTTTTTTTTTTTTTTCCAGAGCCAGAGGATGAGGACGGGAAATTAAAAGACTCCTCGGCACCGGGTTATTGTCTCCAACTTTGGTTATCAGGTTGCCAGGCAAGGAGCGGTGCTGTGCACACACGTTATAACTGCCAGGAATATGGCCACAATTTGCATGCCCGTTCGGCCACCCCGGTTATATCATAACAGCGCTCAGGCATCGTAAACTTGAGCCTGGAAACCTCCTGGCCTCCCACAAGCTTTTGTTTTCTATATCCCTTTCTTGCAATTTCTGACATACGGGGTTTTGTTCTAGAGATAAAACCAAACCTATTCTAACTGGTTAAATGTGGAAAGGTTGGGATTTTTGGTACCCACAAGCCATCAGTCGTTGGCTGGTTGGTTGCACTGACTGACACACTACGCCGAAAAAAAACTCATATGTACTTTCCCGAGTAACACATATACAGACTAGACTTCCCTAGACACGGAGGCCCCTTTTAAATTAGTAAACAACACTAAACTCAACGACTACAAACATTCAGTAATCACTATACAAGTTAAACTGAACATTCATGCAAAACTACATGCATTTACTGTAGTCCTAATGGTGAATTTGACAGACAAAAAACATTTTGTAAAGACACTGAGATAGACAAACGAAGCAAAATAGTAGGACCCCACCCACTTCAATACACTTACGCCAACCCCTAAAACACATTTTAACACTCATAAAACAACGGAAAAACGTCTTTTGATGTTTGATGCAGTTTTTACTAAAAACATACAATTGTTGTTCTATTTCTCAAACCCGACAAACGAGGAACGGTTTCAGGAGAGTAGCGACCGATCACCCACCTTAAAAATATATGAAAAAATAATCCTTATCCACATCCGCAAACACTGCGACTCAAACGACATTATACCCCCAGAAAAAACTGGGTTCTCTCGTGGCGTTAGCGGCTATCATCACGTGTCAAAATTACTGTAGGTTACAGCTAACAATCTAAACAAACCCTTGCCATTGCCATGGTTTTCTCACTCTCTCCCCATTTCCATCGACTGCATAGACTTTCGATTCTGTATCCCACTCCATCCTTATCGATAAACTCAGACTTCACCAATTCCCTGAATGATAGGTCGATATTATTGGCTCATATATTCGTGACAGGACTTTCTCAGTCCGAGTCAAAACTGACTTGTCTATCCCCCACCCAGTTACTTGTCGCGTCTCCCAGAGCTCATATTGTTCAATAAATACACTGCCCAAATAATAGGGATGAAAATTGATTAAGTTTTAATATCCGTACATGCTGATGATATTGCCATGTATACAGCAAGCATGGGAGTAACACGTTGACATAGCAGCTATCCAGGAATTCCGCTGACTTGGAAAGAAATGTCACATCCTGGACTACAGCTGCTACTAAACCCATCACTCCTTCAGTACTGCATTTATTGTTAGAGGAAGAGCCCTCTAACAGGTAAAATTTACAACCATCCCTCCCCGTCTATGCTATATCCGCCTTAAAGGGAAATTCTTTAACACCTTCCTCATCAACATTTATGCACCTACTGAGGCTTCACTATACGAAGATAAAAATGGCTTCTACAAAGATCTCATGAGAGCTTTTGCGGCTTGTCCCGCTTACGACGTTAAGATAGTTCTGGGAGATTTAAACGAACAAGAATGCCAGGAACATGTGCATCGGGCGACTACAGCAGCTTTCACCCTACACGAGTTTACTAACAATAATGGTCAAAGCGCTAATTGACTTTGCAAACTCTCAATTAGATTTTGCTAAAAAAGGCCTAGTTGTAGGAAGTACGAGTTCCCAGGAACGAGAATACTCCACCATATTCTAATTATTTCTCGACACAAATCTAACCTCATTGGAGCCAGTTCAGACACGGATCATTACCTTAGCATAGTTAGAAAACATGCAAAGATCTCAGCTACGAAAAACAAGGTTGGGGCCGATGTAGAAAATATTCATCTCCCAAGTTAAATGATACGGATGTGTGTGAAGTCTATCAGGAGAATATCAGAATACAGTTTGCGAAAGAACTGAGGAGCAGAAATGACACTACTAATGAACAATAGAGGGGATTAGTCCAAGCTATGAAGACGGCAGCTGAAGGAACGCTAGGCCACCAAACACGCGGCACAAATTCTCACAGGTTTGATGATGATTGCTTAACCGCGAAAGTGGGCGGGGTGGCCGAACGGGCTAATATGTGTGCACAGCACCGCTGATGCCCGGCAATCTGATATATGAGACAATGATAAAATATAGTCATGAGTTCGCGCCCCGGTGCTGGGGAAGTTTTTTAAAACCCCGCCCACATCCCCTGGTCCGGGAAATCCCGTATAGCCTTAAAGGCGGGGTAGGAGGACAAAAAAAAATTAATAAATAAAGAAAATGATTGCTTAACCGTCACTGTCAAGAAATATCAAGCATATAGAAAGATGGCATAGCGGTATACAAGGGATACACTGGAATTCTTCCGCGATAGAATGAGTGAGGAGAAGAAAGTTCTTCGGAAAAAAAAGAAAATGTGCGAGAACAGCGAAATGAAAT